TAACCCCACTAGCATTATCATGTTGGGATCTGTAAACAGTAACTTCGTCGGTTCCACCATGTGGTAACTTCCAGGTCGGCAGCACAGCTCTTAACTTTCGTCCGGACCAAGGGTGCACGTGGAGATGGCAAGAGAGAGTCAAGGAAGCAGGCAAGCGCGGCCGCATCGGATGCGGTTGCTGGCGCATGGGTTTCGGCGCCCGAATCCGCAGCTGCCGTGGCATGGCAATGGCATACTACTCTGCCTGGAATGGGCATGGGCTGGTCAGGTCAGCTTCCATTTTACTACGCCACAACCAGTGCCTTGATCAGTTCAGACTTCTTCAGAGACTCATGCTATGTCTCGTCTCGTCTCCACGCTCCAGGCCAGGCATGTGCAAAGCTGGAGCGCGGACCACGGCGCCACCACGACACGACGCGACCGAGGCCGCGGGCAACCGTTGCCTCGTCACGCCTCGCGCCATGCGCGCGGGCCATCGGCACTCGGCAGCCTTTGAAAACGACGCGAGTCTGCGAGTCTGTTCTCTCTGTCGCGAGCTCTACACCGGCGAGTACGCGTGCCCATACTCAGCTGCAGCTCGAACGGCTGCATGCGCCCCCGCCGGCCGCGGCCGCGCCCGATCGAGCTAGCAGCAGCCTGCTAGCCTCGGATGCCGCCGCCCGCTTCCTCACGTCGTCCCTCTCGATCGGTCCCTGTCGTGGACTCCGCGCGGCCGCGGGAGCCGGGTGTCGGCGTGACTACCTCTACCTGTCCCAAGCTCGCGCACCGCCAACGTCGAGTCGTCGTGGACCACGGCACAAGGGGATGAATCACCCGTACTTCAGTCCCTTTTTCTTACCAAATTTCAAAAAGAAAATAAATAATAACTGTGACAGTTGTCGCCATTACGGAGGACGTACTGTTGATGAGAAAGAGAGTGGTTGCATGCCGGCTAGTCGGAGGAGGTAAGTGTGGTGGCGAGGCGGGCTACAGAAGATCGGTGATGATGTGCTCAAGAGTGGGAGAGTTCTATTAGCGAGGGAGGGATCCATGATATATTATGGTGACACAAGAGATGTGCTGACGAGGAGCTGCGGCAGACAGCTAGTGGCGGGAGGAAACGGTCGAGCGCGTGTGGTCCGCTCTGCATCCATGACATAGAGAGAGAGAGAGCTGGACGTTCAAAAAGACATGTTGAGTGTTGGATATGCCTGTAGGCATATAATAGATACCTAACTTGTAAGCCCAATATAGATAGCAATAATGGCTTTATTATTGTTGTTGTTGTGGTGGTTACTACAATTACTATAACATATAGTACTATTATTACCTCTTTTTTTATCAAGTTGTGATAATAATTAGTCTATATGTTCTTCATTATATTTATAGTTTTTCTCGTTGACCACCATGTGTCTTAGATATATGTTTTAGGTGGAACTTTAGCTAAGTTATTAGCTCTTTGTTTTATTAGTTCATGTGTAGTGATGTCATGAATCTGTATTATCTAGTGCTCATTGTACCTTTCATTCAACACTCTTCATTTGTATTTTATCAAAATATACTATATTCTAGATCCTAAAGTGGACTCCTGGTTAGAATGGTATAAATAGTTGTTTCAATGCTCTTGCTGTTCGATTCTGTGCATTCGAAGAATTATGTGTGTGTTAGCATTTTTTTTTTTGAAAAAATATCGTGCCTAAACTTAAGCTATCAGTTAATAGTGTTTTAGTCAAAATGTACAGATTTACCCATTTCATTGCTATATGATGTTTAAGGGAACATCTATGCCAATTACTTTTATGGAGTATTAATTTGATTCAAAATGAATTGTCCTTGTCGTCACTGAAACAATTTGTTTAAGGACAAAATTCAGGATTGTTTATAACTGTAGAAATATATATTTGTCATTATTCATTCATTTATATATACTTGGTTTGTACGGTGGACACATCATGTATATTCCCCTTGAGCTAGTTATTTATATGCCAATAGTGGCAAAATTGGGTATTTGGAAATATATGCATCCTTCACAGTTATTCTTTTCATAATAGTACAAGTGGGTAAGTAAATGTAGGTCTGGTAATGTAGATTTAAATTAAGGGGTGACTTAAATTATATGTATCTACTATAATAGTAGGTATGGATAAGTGATGCAAATTTAAGGTGACTTCGACTATATCTGGCCAGGGTGGATAATTTAGACAAATATAGGGGCTACTTTAAATTGTATTTGATTACAACACATATAGATATACTTTATAGTTATTAAATTTTTATTTCGAAATATCATATTTTGGTAGTTTTAGAAGTAAACTTGAGAGGATATTTTAGTTTCTTTTTAATATTGATAAAGATGGTAATTTTCATGTAAATTTAAGGGGTTACTTAGATTTTGTCTATTAAAGGAAGTTATATTTGATCTCTTTGTAAGCTTCTCGTATTTACAAGAGTTCTTTGTTTTTTTTTCGGTTGTAACTAGGGCTGCCACAAAATTAAGCCCCCTAGGCCCCTTTGGTTTGGCTTCTAAACATGCTTTGGCTACTGGAAAAATCAAAAGCTGACCGAAGGGACCAAATTCCTCTTAGGTTCTACTGTACACAAAAAGTAGCTTTCCCCTAGTATAATTTCCACAACAGCTAGGGACTTGCTTCTACTGATTGTAGGATCGATATTTTTGCGAAAATTACCCACCTGCCACTAGTTATGTTGGGTATCAGTTCGTTCTTTCTCTCGATTCGCCTCCCTCATCCACGAGAATAGACAAGTGCAACTCCGGTCCCGGTGGTGGCCCCCTTCACCCGTGCCCTCCCTCTCCAGCTGTCGGCGGTGTGGCTCTGGGCCAGTTGCACCTCTGTCTCTCCTGTAGGTCCGAGCGGGCGAGCACCGTCCCGGCCCCGGTGGCGAGTGCGGCTCCAGCCCTGGCATCCTTCATGGCCTTCTCTGCATGTTGTGGTTAACATGTGAGGCCCACTGACAACAGTTTTTCTAAGAAGCCATAACTATTTAAACCAAACAGCTTTCGGCTTTCTCACAACTCACAACCTATAACACTTTTTCAAAGACCACAGCTCACAATAACTACTTTTCAGAAGCCACAGCTCAACCAAATAGTAAGCTGAGACTCGATCGACTGAGGTCAAGCTACTACCAAAACTTTATTCAAAGGCCACCGACTGGCGACTCGGCAAGGAGCATATGAGTCTTGATGATTTCACTAGAGCCCCTGTTTTATCGTTAGGTATACATGCATAACAATCCGACCTTATCTTGATGCAAAATATCTACCTATTCATTTTTCAACTCCATTATATATAATAGGCAGCTCTGTCTTATAGTAGCGCAAAGATCAGCTAGGAATTGAAAAAAAGAATGGGGACAGCTTCCAACCTCATACAGACAAGTCACAACGCATTGCTCGGGCCAGATTTATGTTTAACACGGGCTAATAAGGAATATTTCGAACACACGACCCTTGGAATCACTAGAGGTCGACTGGAGCCTGTACTCATGGAGCTCGAGGCTGGCTGGCTGGCTGGTGCCTGACGACCCAAACTGCGCGTGGGCTCGATGTCATCCACGCTAGATGAGAGCCGCAATGATTCCCCTCTCCGTGAACCGGTTTTGCCCCGTGGAAGGAAAACCTTACGACGTCACTCCCAGGTCCTGCAGGTGGTAGCCCACCAATTCCAAAAGCATTTGCATTTCATCGTGTTGGGATCGGTAAACAGTGCAGTAGCCTGACTTGAGGGCAGTGCAGGTAGAATTGAACTGTTACTCCGTACCTCAGTTCGGTTGGGCAGGCGGGTAACTTGTCGCAGTAAAACTGTCAGTTACTGGTGGTGAGTAGGAGTACGCAGTAGTACAGTACTACTCCTACGCTGCTCTGCTGTGCATGCATGCACCCGTCCTCCGAATCAAAAGGGTGCACGTGGGGATGGAAGGCGTTGGCATAGGATGCGGGTCGCTGCGCATGTGTTTCAGCGCCACGACGGCTGCTGCGGCGCATGGGTTTCAGCGCTCGATTCCGCGGGCAGCTAGCCGGGCGTCAGCGTCAGCCAGCTTTTCATTTACTACTGCCCACGCCGACGGCGCCGGGACCAGCTCCATGCTTGCGCCGCCACCAACACGGCACACACGGCCGGACCCTTTTTCTTCTCTCTCGTCTCTCCCGTTCCCGTGGTATGGCCGACGCGTTAGCATGCTTCGTTTGCTTGCCCCTGTTTCGCTCAGTTACCCTTTTGTTCGAACGGCGAGAACACTGCCGGTATACCTCCGCCGCAACCCTCGAGGGCCTTGGGGCGAAAATGACGGGCAGGGCATCCTATGTGCCGAAAATTGCTGTCTGAGAACGACAGTCGACAGACAAGGTGCCGTCTGGCTATTACATTAAGCAAACCCATTCTTACAAACTCGCTGATTTTTTTCTACCTATATACCCCCTCCGTCCACGAAAAAATGCAATTCTCGCATTTTGAGAGATCAAACAGTTTGAACTTTGACTAAATTTATATAAAAAACAATAACATTTATGGTACAAAATAAGTATTATTAGATTAGTTATATGATATATTTCCATAATAAATTTATTTGGAGGCAGAGTTTGACTAGTACGTATCCATAATCATATTCTTTTGTGGACGGAGGAAGTACTGTACATCTTTATATTGGGCCGTATTGTATGCTGGGCTGCATCGTAACCAACAACACGTCCTGCGTGACACCGTGGATCAGGAAGCCTGCTATTGTATTGGGCCCAATCCACCCGCAAAATCCAACGGATTCAAAAACTCACGCGCTGCCCTCTGTGACAAATGACAATTGCCTCCCTTAATCACTTCCACGCGGGCCCCACCACATCCCATAATCCCCGATTCCCCTTCCCCTCCAACGGCCAACGGCTGCTCCCCTCACACCAATCCCCACTCCCCCTCCTTCCGTGTTCCGTCACTCCCCACCCCGGCAACTCCAATCCCAAACGGCCAAACCCTAGCTGCTCTGGTGGCATCGGCCGGCGCGCGGCGATGCCTGCCACCGCCTTCGCCTCCGTCGCCGCGTCGCCGTCTCCGTGGTCGCCACGTCCGCCTCCTCGCCGCGCCCACGTCCGCCTGCCCCCGCCGAGAAGCGGAAGCAGCGCGGGCGGGGGCGGGGGCGACGAGCCCTCCACCGCCACCCCGTGGGCGAGCCCCGACTGGCTCACGTCTCTCTCGCGCGCGGTCGGCCGGAGCCGGAGCGGCGGCGGCGACGACTCGGGGATCCCCGTCGCGTCCGCCAAGCTCGACGACGTGCGGGACCTCCTCGGCGGCGCGCTCTTCCTGCCGCTCTTCAAGTGGTTCCGCGAGGAAGGGCCCGTGTACCGCCTCGCCGCGGGGCCGCAGGACTTCGTCATCGTCAGCGACCCCGCCGTCGCCAGGCACGTGCTGCGCGGCTACGGCTCGCGCTACGCTAAGGGACTAGTCGCTGAAGTCTCCGAGTTCCTCTTCGGCTCCGGCTTCGCCATCGCGGAGGGCGACCTATGGACGGTGCGTTCTCTGTCTCTCTTGCCACTAGTGTTATTGTTTAGCGAATGGAATGGCCTATCACAGTCGTAAGGCTCTGTAACGGGCTGGAACAATTGTATGTCAGTAGACCTGTTCATAGTTTGGATTGACCAGCTAAACGGCACCCAAACCAAACCAGACCAGCAGAAACGAGGTTACTTGGTTTAACTTACCTGCAGGTTGAACCAGCATGATTTATAAACGGTTTAGGTTGAAGACGGGTCATTTCAATTTGCGCCATTGGGAGTGGTTGCGGAGAGCCGCCGGAGAGGGTAGTCAGTTCCTCATGATGTTCAATAATGTAAAGGGCTGGCTGACATATATTTGATAAATGGTAGTAGTAGTGCAATAAATTAGTAGGGTTGTATCTCTTCTCTTGCTGCAGCTATATCTTGCATATTTGCGGCACCATTGTAGTTTGGAGCTAAATTTAATTGGACTGTAAGTTAATCCTTAATCTCACTCCAAAGCTGGTATGTTTTTTTTAGGTGAGACGCAGAGCTGTTGTGCCTTCCCTGCACAAAAGATTTCTGTCCATTATCGTGGAAAAGGTATTTTGTAAATGTGCTGAGAGATTAATAGAGAAACTTGAGCCATATGCTTTGAGTGGGGAAGTTGTCAATATGGAAGCGAGGTTTTCTCAGTTGACATTGGATGTGATTGGTTTGTCATTGTTCAACTACAATTTTGATTCCCTCACAACAGATAGTCCTGTCATTGATGCTGTTTATACTGCACTCAAAGAAGCAGAGCTTCGTTCTACAGATCTTTTGCCATACTGGAAGGTTGGCTCATCTTTCACTTCATTCTTCTAACTTTTAATCTCACCTATGTTTCCTAGTTCATTGGCCGAAAGGAAAAATCACTTGACTGATGTTTGATATGATCCTTGTTTATTTGTCACAGATTGATTTCTTGTGCAAGATAATTCCAAGACAGATAAAAGCAGAGAATGCAGTTAGGATTATAAGAAACACTGTTGAAGAGCTGATTATGAAGTGTAAAGAAATAGTGGAAGCTGAAAATGAACAGATTGAGGGTGAGGAATATGTAAATGAGGGGGACCCTAGCATTCTACGCTTCCTACTTGCTAGCCGAGATGAGGTGATTAACGCATTCCATTTTTTTACAATATTTTGCTTCTTTTACCTTTAATTTCCACAATTTCTACTTATATGAAGCTACTTGCTCATCATGAAAATAATTTGACATCTACTGCTGTTGATGCTCCATAACATTTGCCTGATGATGGCTTTGATTATTGATTTATCCTTCTGCTGGTCCATGAAAATTTAAAACCATGGATTTGTTTGCCCAGCTCATAAATGTTGCTTTATTAGCTCTGTTGCCTTGCCCGGAGGGACAATTATTGGTTGGGCATGCAGTTTGTAACCTGGTGTCATTCAGCTTCAAATATCTTTAGGAAAAAGGATATGTTTAGCATAGAACATATTACTGCATACATCTAAATGAAAAACAGTGCAGCTTTAGTGTATCACCTTTCCCCCCCTCTGAATGTGCACTTAAAGTCTATATCTTCTGTTTCTTTCTATTAGTTTAGATGATGAGGCTTTACCTACTAGAAGCGGCACATTATGCTTGTGTGTAAAGGTGATTGCTAGGAGTATTTGGTCCTTTCTTTTCCATTGATTTATGAAAAGTTATGACAAAAGACTGAAAAATTCTATAAAAAATCATCTCTCTGTTCTTGTTTTTTTCCCTCTAACACGCAAAAGATTTGCATATCATTTCACTACTAAGAGAGAAGATTATGTTCCTTGTGAGTCATGTTCTATGCCAAGTTTTGCTGAAGTTCGACAACGCAAGATCTTTTTGTGCTTCTGTTGCTAAACTTCTCATGCTCGGTTTGCGTGCAGTTTCATATAGTGCTCCATTTCACCATTTTACACGACACGCATGTTGTTTATTGCAAGTTTGACTGCTTTAGTTGACATGCCTTTGGGTTCTCCAGGTAAGCAGTGTACAATTACGTGATGATCTCTTGTCAATGTTAGTTGCTGGTCATGAAACAACAGGCTCTGTACTGACATGGACAATCTATCTTCTCAGTAAGGTACTCCTGTAGTGCTATATTCCTTGCAGTAACCATCTATCAACCAAAGTGACAAATAATGCATTACTTAAAATGTCACTTTAATATGTTGACTGCTCAGTGTTACACTACTGAAGGATCCGGCTGCACTGAGGAGAGCTCAAGATGAAGTAGATCGTGTTCTACAAGGTAGACTCCCCAAATATGAGGATGTAAAGGAGCTGAAATACTTGATGCGCTGTATAAATGAGTCTATGCGGCTGTATCCACACCCTCCTGTACGTTTCTTGTGCTAGTGACAAGCAACTTTATAATTGGTTTTGGTGACTCATGGACTAATTACTGATAGGTGCTGTTACGGCGTGCAATAGTTGATGATGTTCTTCCTGGAGACTATAAGGTTAAGGCTGGTCAAGATATTATGATATCTGTGTACAATATACACAGGTCCCCAGAGGTACTTCTCCATCTGAATATGAATCACACACAATTGGCAGTATTTGAGGTCTTTAAAGTAAATGCTTTGCATCGTGGAATATTGAATATACATGTCTGATTTTGTGAATTATACGGAGGATCTTATTCCAAGTTGCTGTAGGCTTACTAAGAAAATTACAAGGTATCGTTTATTAGTCTATCTGTTAGGTCTTGATGCAACCTGCTTTTCCATGATATAATGATAAGATGGTTTCATGAACATTATTTTATTGCATTGAGTATACTAGTTTGCTGTCATATATGCCCTAAAAGCCTGAACTTAGAAGTATAATTATATTACGTAGTTATCATCCTTTGCTACCATTTGAAGCATGCTTTGCTATGCCTATGCTTTTGTTGTGCTGGAGCTGTGCTCTGCTCATATGGTGTTTTCATCCATTAGTAGCAATGTCTATGCAAGCACTTAGCAGATTTTTGCATTCTACAATTAATTGTTTGTTCCTTCTACAAAGGTCTGGGATAGAGCAGATGAGTTCATTCCAGAGAGGTTTGATTTAGAGGGACCTGTTCCAAATGAGTCAAACACAGATTTCAGGTCAGAATACAACTTTGCGATATATCGTTTCTATCCTGTCACTTCATATTTCCATTAAGCATCTGATTAGCTTTTGTTAACCGGCAAATGTAACTGAGCTGCGCCATGCTCCTGCTACATCTTTTTCCCAGGTTTATCCCATTCAGTGGAGGTCCTCGGAAATGTGTTGGAGATCAATTTGCTCTCCTAGAAGCGATAGTGGCACTTGCAGTTGTGTTGCAGAAGATGGATATTCAGCTTGTGCCAGATCAAAAGATTAACATGACTACTGGAGCTACAATTCATACAACCAATGTAAGGAAACATGCTATGCATATTTTCTACAATACTCTTGTTTTTTTCATAATCTAGTTGATATCAATTGGAGTTCAATAAAGAATTGTAGCAAAAGCTGTACTACTTAAGGGCACATTAGGAGGAAAGTGAAAAGGAAGAGGCCAAAGTTCCTGATGTTTTCTCTATGAAAATTGATTCAGTTTTGAAAGCTCGAAAGTGTAGCCAAGTTATACTCTTGAGTTTCAATCATTTTTTCCCCAAGAAAGTAGAAAGAGCCAAACTCTTCCTAATGTTAAAGCGCAATCAGTTTCTTTGTCCATCGACCGTCCGCTTTTTTTTTTCCGTTCCGCCCGCTCACCCTGTTGTCTGTCTGTTTTTTTTCTGTTCCGCCTGCCCCCATCACCCAGTCCGCTTTTTTTTTTGTCTGTTTTGAGTACCTCATTCTGATTTCTTAAGTTTTTCCATAAATATAAAAAACAAAGAATAAATGCACTATCATAGGCCTCTGAACGCCTCGCCCTTCCCTATGAAACAAAGGTTCCCAGTACCATGTCATCTTGCCCCATTGTCCATCCGCATTTTTTAATGTTCCCCTCAACCTTGTCACCCATCTGCCTTTTTTGGTTTCTTTTTTGTTCCAAGTGCCTCCCATGCCAATTTCTTATATTTTTTTCCCATAAATGTCATAACAAAGAATAAAACATCATGGGCCTTTGAACCCTTGACCATTCTCTAATTACTAAGAAACAAGATTCTCTACAAGTTGTTGATGCAGTTTTGATTTGATTAGGACAAAACTTATCTTATTAGAACCTGGTTAGCCGATGGTCCAACTAATGAAACCGTCAACTGAAATCTTGAGTAGTATGTTGTCCAGTCTAAATAAATGTGCCTTCAAGCCGTATGCATATACTAGTGCAATCCTTGACACGTCACATGGAAAATCAAGAGAGGTCTCCCATTGTAATCACTAGTGGACAGATGACACGTCGACAACTAACTCCTTGCTGACTTTAATTAGAAATTAAAATTAAAGATTTTTATAGGTCCTCAAAGGAAGTCGCGGAACTAGATACTTAACTGTACTATAATGCATGGGTAGTATGAAAATTAAAGTTATGAGGATATTTAGGAGTAAATATTTCTATGTTTTGCAACGGGAGAAAAAAATCCATCATGGTTTATTGATACATGTTTAATAAGACATTGTGGATGCCATAGTCATCATCAAATAGATTAGCTTTAATTGTTTTAGTCTTTTAGAAAAGATAAAACATAAATATACATGTAGCATTCCTGTCTCGTTTCCCAATGTTGGATAGCTTTTTTGTATTTAAATTATGTAACACATGGACATGTTTGATAAAAAAAGCCCCTCATTTCATTTCGGGTCTATTCTAGCCCAAACTTCTATTTCAAGTTTGATAGCATATCTGAATGGTTTCTTAAGATGAGTTTATTGCTGCAGGGACTATATATGAATGTAAGCCTGCATGTAAAGTTCAGCAAGCTGAGTTTGTACTGAGGTAAATTCTTAATGCTGATTTGCTCAATACTTTTTTTACAAACCGATACAGAACTGCAGTTGGCTCCCTAAAAAAAGGCTATAGAATCTTATATTTTCCTCTCTAGTTCTGTCACAAAGATATTTTTAGCATGAATTTCATTGCTAATTTTGCAATCAGGTTTTGAAAGGGCACAGGATGTGTTCTCTTTATCTTATTATTATTACTTACTTGTACCCAGAACAGTAGAACACGGGAAGCTTATGTGTTTTTTTCTTCTCCACTTAAGTTTCAGCAAAACTTTGACTGTTTTCGTTCTTTCAGCGAATCAAAATAGATGGAAACGACTTCAAACCAGAATAGAGAACACCTGCACTGGCTACAGAATTGTCAAGATGTGAAAATGCTTCTCCAGTTTCTCGTTGAATGCTCTACAGTACCATACTAGATGTCACTGCGTCGGCGTACAGATTTTACAGATTCGCTTCCCTTGAAACTTGAAAGAAAGGAACTTTTGCTTACTGATACGTTCGGCTATTCGTGAGCGTAAAACTTAGGTCCTGGTGGTAATCCAAGGCCGAACGGATTCATATTCATATATTCGTTAGCGGCACAATATGGTATTGGAGAAAAAATGTAGTCTGGTTTTTCTCGGTATAAGTTCTGACTTAGGGCGTGTTTGTTTACCCCCTGCTAAAGTTTAGCTAGTAAACCAGTTGTCCAGTTGCGTAACCAACCTATCCAGAATCCACCGGATTTTAGTTGACGTGGTCCGGTCCCACATGTTATAGTGGGTCTCGTTCCTCCGATTTATCTCTCGTTCTACTCCATAACGAGCCATAGCGATTGCTAGGATGGGCAGGGACGGCGGGTGGAGGGATCACCTAGAGGCCGTCGGGTTCTTTGGTCATAGACGAGGGCGGGGAGCTCTTGGTAGTGATGGACGAGGTGCCCGGGGACGCGAGGCTCAGGGCGACCGTGCTCCTGCTGGAAAGGGCGCGCCCATCGGCGCAGCCAACCGAGCCTGTAGCACACCAGACCAGCCCGCGGCGCCCAAATCGGCGGGAAAGCCGAAGAGGGTGGCGCCCCTCGGGCTCCTTGGCGTGTAGTGCGGCCTCCTCGGCACCGGCGACGACGGCAACCCGAGACTCCGGCGCAAGAGCAGGCGCAGCTCCACAAGGAGGTCGTCGGGGCTGCCTGGGCCCGCGGGCGACGGTGGCGCGGACGCCCGACGGGAGACGCCCGCGTGGGAGATGGGCGGGGACGCGCGTTTCGTCCTGGCCCCCCGATTTTGGCGCCGGCCGTCGTTGGGGCAATAACCTCTGCATAAGTGGTTGACTAGTTGCTATTCTTATGAAAAAAATGGCTGCTATGGGCAGCAGAGAGAAAAACTGGCTTCTTCATCAGAAGCATAATAATCGGTTCTAAACAGGGGCATCGCAATTCGTCACGTAGGAGAGAGAGACAGAGGTGTTTCTTATTTGAGCTGTCAACTAAAGACTAGTGGAATTCGCTCGCCTAGGCACACTCCAGTGAAGCAGAGGAGCTGTGTCAGCTTGTCAATGCGCAGCGCACGAAACCGGCCAACGGAAGCTATCAAGCATGTTATCAAAAAAAAAAAAAACGGAAGCTATCAAGCACGAGCTCGTGCGGCCGTGTAACGTCACTTGTCCATTCGTGAGATGGCAATGGCATGGATAGAAGGTGACATTTCCTTGGCGTGGGCCCCGGGGCCGGGGCGCGCCGCTGTCTGGACTGCGTTGCCTGGCCCCGCCGTGACAGCGACTGAATTCCAAGGTTACGTTCGCTGGAGGATAACTACGGGCTACGGCCGTGGCACACTGCAAAGCTTTGGTTAACACCTTCTAACATCGGCCTAACCACTTTGAAAGCACATCATTTGAGAGCCCAAAAGTACGTCGCCACTCGCCACGCCACTGGTTGAAACACCCGTTTTCTTTCACATGCAAAGTTACACCTACAACGACATGCCACGGCTGCACACGCCTGGTTGGTTCGTTGCCATGCCTCAGGTTAGTCATGTTATAGTTTTCCTGGCAGCTTTTTGTTTGCTGTTATCGTTACGGCTGCCACACTTTCTTAACACATTGTCCTACACGTCGTAGATTTATTTTCTAGTCGTACTTTGCCACAAGCGTGGCTTCAATTTTCCTCGTCGAACTTCTCTGACAGCCACGATTTCCTAAGGATTTGGCGTGGCAAACTAACGCACGGGCAATGTGCCCGCCCACAAACATGCGACGCGCGAGGCGCGAGGCTAAGCCGGCATTCAGCTACAAACATGCGACGCACGGCATGACCCGACCCGGGCAAAACTCCCGCTGCCCTACTATACCCTCGCCACGACGCCCGCCCACAAACGCAGAGCAGCCTGTCAGGGCATGGCTGCCACGGAGCGCACGAGTAGGCGCCTGGTCCCGGGCGACGCGCACGCCACGCCGGCGGTCGGCCCCGCGTCGTCCGGCTCCGGCTCGGGCTCCGGAGGCGGGCGGGCACAGGAGTTCAACCTGTCCTCGGGCGCGGCCACGGCCGTGGTGTTCGTCTCCATCCTGCTCTGCTTCATCCTCCTCTGCACCTACTGCCGCTGCGCGCGGCAGCGGGCCGTCGCGGGGGCGCGCCGCCGCGTCATGCGCGACCTCGTCCCGGGCGTGGCGCTCTTCCTCCGCCCCACCGCGGCCGCGCTGCCGCCCGTGGTGCCGTACGCCGCGGCCGCCTGAGCCGCCAAGAAGGGCCTGATGCCCGAGGACTGCCCCATCTGCCTCGAGCCCTTCTGCGACGACGACGGCGTCAGGGTCGTCCCCGCGTGCGGCCACCTCTACCACGCGCCCTGCATCGACCGCTGTCTCGACGTCCGCAACTCCTGCCCCATCTGCCGCTGCGCCGTGGCCAGCCTCTACGCCGCCGCCGACCGCGACAGGGACGCCACTTCGGTGGCCGACGACGCCGACGCCGACGACCAGGAGGCCGTCCTGCAGCGCGTGGTCGCGATGATCGAAGCCATAAGAGACGAACAGAGAGAAGACGCGGCGGCGCGGCGCGCGCCGGCCGGCGGAGGCGCAGGGTCATGACTCATGACATGATTGATGTACATGCATGGTTCAATTGCGGTGCAGGTGCAGCTAACTTGAATTAACCTTGTAAATTTGTGAGTAGTTTCGGCGTCACAGTATATAGGGCTAGCTGGTGGTGTGATCATTCATTCACCATTTTTCTGACAGCAAATTTTTTCTTGAATTGTGTATATTCGAAATTATGGCATGGGATGAATGATTTTTCTTTCATGGTTCAAGCCATGGTCATGACCATCTCAGTATGGCATCCCTGTTCTTGAAATGCTCTGGAATCGGTATGGTTGCCTAGTACCTACCTACTTTGGCAGACCAAAGCAAGGTTCACAACTCAAGAGGCAATATTAGATGCAGCAAGCACTGATGGAAACAACACCAAAAATATATATCAACCCTTTTAAGTATGCCATCTTCTAATTGTGTGTATTGTGGTGGTTTACTCTTTCAAAAAAAAAAGTGTATTGTGGTGGTTTATCATATTGGGTTGGGGAATATAGCCAACAACTGCTTTAGTTGGAGAAATCATAAAGTCCCAGGTGTATCAAATCATACAAATTTGCCTGCATATATAATCATAATATTCTGCCGTTGGACAGCAGTCCAGAAATTGAGAAGAAGGTCTCCTCCCTGGTGGCAAAAGAGCGCTGTAGAATCATTGCCGATGCCTCACCTGCCGGCCTTCCATATCTTTTTTTTTATTATTTTCGATTGAGGGTGCCGGCCTTCCATATCCAATATCTCTTATTATCAAACCGAGAAGCTTTGGCCGCCAACCAGCGTGGCCACGTCGGCAGAATTCCCGCTGCCTGTCCGATTCTCCGATCAACGGCCCCTGTTGGCTCCACCTTTTCACTACAGTATGCCCCGCCCGCTGTAAAACCCTCGACGGCCCGACGCACTCCTCCTCGCTGCTGCTCTCTCTCTCTCTCTCTCTCTCCCTCCCTCGCTCCCGACTCGCGGAGCGGCTCAGGCGACGGCGCGGGACGGCCTCGGCGGTGGCCCACCCTCCGCGCGGCGGTAGCCTCCCTCCTCCTCCTCCTCCTCCTCCACCACCACCACCACGCCGCTTCCTCCTCGCGACGCAACGCGGCGGGTCGCGCGGCCTAGGGTTTCGCCCCTCCGTCGCCGGTCGTCCCCACGGCCGCGCGGCCAGCCAGCGGACGCCCTGACGCGCCGGAGGCCTCTGGCGGCGGAGGAGCCTCCGTGGTGGCCGTGCATGACGACAGGGAGGTCATGTCAGCTACCTCGGCGGTGGATCTGGAGCGGCCGCTCGCGGGGCCCCTCCCGGCGGCCGATCTTAGGATGGAGCACGGCGTCGACCTCGCGCAGCCAACGGAGGCGGTGGATCTGCGGCGACCAGCCGGATCCAGCGCGAGCCCTCCCCGTCTCCACAGGATCCGCCTGCTGGGTGCCCGGATCTGTCGCCTGGTTGGCCGGATCCGCCTTCTGGGCCCCTCCGTCCGCCTCGGTCGTCGACAGCGACCCGCGCGGGAGCGCTAGGGTTACCGCTTACACGCCATCGCCGGTACCCAACGTCGTTGCTCTCCCTGTTCGTCCTCGTTCGCTTATCTGTACCTTTTGCTAATTGCCACATTGTGTGTCCTTTTCCTTGTGGTCTCCTAATTTCGTGATTCTAATATGGCAAACGCTAGAATGGTAATCGAGTACTGATAGTACCTGATTTGAACAGCTTGCTTATAACATTAGAGCGTTATAGTAGCTGATTTCAACAGCTTACTTACCATGGGAGTAACAGCTTACTTAGCATAAGAATAGCTGAACCGCCATCCTTGCCAGGCATGCTATAAAATAAACAACTTTCTCCTGAGTTGCTACAATAGTGTTCCGTTTATTTCCCACTTTTGTGTTTTTTTCTCGAACACCTACGAGAGCTGCTTATCATTTCGTTAAAACACAACGTACCAGACAGTATGAACAACACACCCACCGCTCCTCCCTATGCCTAACAGTTCAGCCAATTAAGGCTAGGCATTTCTTGTCGAGTTGTCGTGAACCGATGCTACTATCTAATGGTTACATTGATCTGTTATTTTCTTAGTTACAGTGATGTGACCCTTACAACTTATCTTGTTTGTGTAGTTCTAGAAATCATACATCAAAAGGCCTATGGTGTTAGTCGGGCCCAGCCTTGGTGCTGTTGTTGCCATTGATTCTTCAGTCAGCTACCCAGAAGCGCTACATGCTCAAGATAGTTTTGTTGTCTATATTTATTTAGTACTGCAGACTACAGAGTAATGCAACAGATTAGACTGAGGTATCTGTAGTGTTTCCTTTTATGTGAATTTTGACTACTATGCCACAAGCATTCATACAAGACAGGTCTTACAAGTTTGAGAGTTTTATATTCCAATTAGCTGATTTAAGCTTGGTTTCACAGGTCTCGAAATTGATCTTCGTTGTTGCAAGTGTATAATATGAGGGCCCGAAAGGTGTGACTAAAATCCCTAAATTTGTTTCATATACCGGGGTGAGGTATCTGTAGTGCTCCCTAAATTTGACAGGTATATGTTTGTTCTTATTCGTTTAGATTTCCCATGTAGTATCTAGTGATGTGTGTTTGCCATCAGATTGCTTACAGTTGTTGGTCTTTACAGGCCTGAATGTGATCATCTCGATCTGAATTTCTTTGCATGCGTCGCTCCCCAGGGCCTCTCAGGATTGGTTAGTGATTTCATGTCTCCTGAAATATTTGTTTAATGCTGTTGTCTGTGCCGTTGTTTGTTTCCTCTTATATTAACTACGCATCTCTTAGATTAACTGTGTATTCTGGGTTGGCGTGTACGGACAACATGTGTTTTGTAAGATGGTTTATCTTCTCTGTGCTTTCCAATTTCAATAAAGGTTACATACAGTTTATGGTTTGAACATAAATCAAAGCACGTGCTGAATGAGTCCATTAGTGTGCTGGTTCATTGCTGGTGCCTCCTCAGCTCTTAATGTGTTTCACAAATACTGACATGTGTTCTGCAGGTACATCATTTGGGGAAATGCCTTCAAGATGATTGATGAGATGTCTACATGGATACACCGGCCAGTAGGCACCACCTCGAGTAATCAGGTGCTGCATCTTGCCATATGTGCTCTGCCTGTGGATTAGTGATGATGTACAAAAAGTAAAAGGCCAGCAATATTTCTGCATCCCAGTTTTTTTTGCAGAATTAAAAAAAAAGTGCTTCTTTCTTATTTCAGTCAGTACATAAGACAATGCTCTTATATTATACCAGTCTTGTGACAGAGACAAGACTTTTTGATAGGTTAAGGGGATCATAACTGTGAAATAGTCCTTCATTTCCTTGTGTCTTACAGCATTAGCTTCAAAATGTATGCCCATATTTTAATTCTTTTAAATAGTTCTTAATATTTATAGAGCATTTTTGGCAATCCACAAAATTCTGAAGCACCATATTATTAGCTGAGAGCCAAATATTGCAGCCACTAATATTTCCATCTGCTAATGTTTGAACAAATTATGTACAGTTCACAACAGGCACACTGTCTTGTGCAAAAAAGTTTGCCAAAATAGTTAATCACTGCCTACCTGGTAATAAAATTATTCTATGTGCCTCTTCTGGATTATAAGTGTGTGACAATGGCGCTGTTTTATTTATTTAAGTCTGAGCATATGCCCTTGCTAATGATATGATGATGACTGTGAGGTGCTTTTAGTATAACTCGACATATTTTTGTGCCTTTACTATTTTGCATTTTTGTTGGTTCAACATATGTCAATGCTGATGATACTGCTCGGAGTTGTGGGTTTTACGTGACGGCACCGTGTTTGTTTGCAGAGCAACCAAGAAGAGGAACTGAAGAAGCTCATGGAGAGCACAGACGAAATTAAGAAGAGATTGGCAGCCAAAGAAGTTGAGGTGCAGGAGGCCAAGACCACCCTCGACGCAAAGGTCACAGTGATTGGCAACATCGTGCATGCGTCCGTGCCAGTCAGCGACGACGAGGTGATCTGCAAATTTAATTGGTGGTTCTTCTACATATTTCCTTTCCACTGCAGTACTGAACGGCTCAAATAAACTTATTTTTCCAGCCACTGCTACATTGTAGTGTGGCAACCAAACGTAAATTTGCAGTCTGATACATATCAAATGATGAACAAGTGGTTGGAGTAATAGAGTTGAAGGAATGAGGGTTCCTCACAATCTGATACATATCAAATGATGAACAAGTGGTTGTTTCTTTAGTACACCTGTTTACATAAATCCTCATTTTTTTTGTTAGTATTCTATAGCAGCCAGTCAGTTATTCTTTGTACCCAAACACCCCACAGTCCTATGTATAACAAATTTACTGGAGACATACCGCTTGCAATCTTTTATGAATACACTGAAATAGCATTAGATGATAGAGGTCATTTAACGCAACAGAAATAGCATTTTAGATGATAGAAGCCATTCAGTACAAGAGAGTATGTTTGCAACAGATATGATATGCCTTTATTGTTGTTTTTTCCAGGGGTTTTAGCGTGCTTATTTTTGTAGTAGATTAACCGGTTTTCCAAGACTTTTTCCTTCTGAACCAAGCCAGAAAGGTGGTTTGCACTGTATATAGTATGTTGACCTGATTTATGAAGTTACTAAGCTTCTAGCAGGAAGGTAGCACGATCTTGTGGATTATGAAACAGTTATATTTATTTTAACAAGAGATTAAACATATTGTATAAATGAAGAAGGTAGGATGTTAAGATCTGCAAATAGTTAATTAGTTGCTTCTGTATGGATTTACAATATTCAAGCAAGTCCAGATGCCTCATCACAATTCAAAGATTGGCAATTTTTATTCCAAATTTTTTTCCCGCGGCTGCTCTACCTAAACTTAACACTAAATTTATGGCTGATGGCTTAAATGCAGATTTCATGGGTATAGGCCACGAAGACGCAAATACACGGGTAAGGTAGATGCCTTTTCCTTACTTCTTCCAATTTCTAATCTCTATGACTCTAGAGAGAAAAAAATACTCATGCTTCATAGTCGGTGTGAAAACAGAAGCTTTAAAATATTTCTCATGTAGTGTGAAGATCTGAAATAGTTTAGTGCATTGGCTTCTATGTTTTGCTACGAAATGTCATCTACCACATCAATGATTTCGTCTTTACAATTCTAAATAGTCTTACCGTGTTAAATGTAAAAAAAATTCCAATCGTTCAGATCTTGTGCGTGACATATCTACATTAAACTCCTAATATTGTTTCTATGCAAATATTAAACATCTTTTTTTACCTGCGTCATAACCAGGTGATTTGCTGGCGCGCGCGATGGCGCGCGTGATGGGCTAGTATATATTAGAATAAGGCATCAGAGGAGGCCAATGAGGCGGCATTCCGTACCAAGATCGTGTTAGGTTAGGTGGTGGCTGCCGTCTTGGGTTGACAAAAGTCCAGCCAGTTACAGAATTTTTAGAATTATTAGGATGTGCCAATTTGTCACTTGCACGAATGCAATGCAAGCTGACAGACAGTGATTGGTTTGATTGGGTGAGAATCTTATTGTCCTGTATTTTTGTTTTGTTTTTGGGCATTGTATTGTATAAGCCTTGTAGAAAAGCACTCGAGCATGCGAGGTTCAGTTTTCTGAATCTCTGCATCTGCCCAACAAACGGTTTCGTCCACAATCGTTGTACTCGTTAAAAATCTTGAAATTAATCGATAAAGATTAGGGATCACATCATATCATATGTATGGATTGCTCGCGATCGAAAAGACAACAGGCCGGCATCCGTCCAGGCTGGGCATTTAGACTCGAGATACGTATGCCTGATTCTGAATGCAACAGGGCGTCACAACCATGTCCACTTCGCAGGCTCGCACACAACCGAGTCAACGACCCATGCCCGGCGCCCGCTGCAGGTGATGGATAAATATCCTCGCATGAAAAGCTACCACACCTAAGAGTTCAGATCATGCAGCACCCCAAAGGAGCGTGCACTCTGGGCACGTGATGAGATCGCATAAACAAAGACGAATCACATGTGTTACCTACACAAAAGTCTCCTACAAGTTCTTTGCAGAGTGAGATGAACTAGCACATAATGCCAATACCAACTATCTAGTCTTTTTTTTCAGGCACAGTTCAGGAAGAGCTAAGTTTATCAGCAACTATGTTGTGCGTCGTGTAAAAGGCAGGGTGATCTGTATGTATATGAACATGATTGGTCACTCTAGCCCACATAGTCTCGCAAAGTATTGACAGTTCAAGACGATCAGGGCATCTCAAGTTCTGAGAATAGTCATTGTCCGATTTGTCTCCGAGGCTGGAGAACACCCGTGGCTCTTGGTGCCCTTGCTCAATTCTCACGATGGTGGCCTCCAAGATCTGGATGCCTCTGGCATTTTTCACAACATGCTTCCTGACAATTAGACAAGCAGCTCGTTACATGTACCATTAGAAGGATCGATGCTATATAGTGGAAGCAGAGGAGGTTCAAAATGATTCTTTGAGTAGATGAAAGAGGTTTTTTTTGGGCACATTTTTTTAATGATTTTATTGTTCCTAACATTGGTGATTCATCTAGTAAAGCAGAATACTTATGTTCGGTGTCTAAAATGAATGTTTGTATTTTGGAAATAAAATTTCATTATCTCATGAACTTAAATTGAAACCAATCAATAAAACAAATGCTTCCTAGGTGAGGTGTTGAGGAGACCTTTCTGTCGGTATGTCCTACCAGGATATGTAGTGGACGGTGTATTCTCTTCTTCCTGATATGAATGACAGAGCCCCTATCCTTGGTTCCGAAAACAAACATGCAGAGAAAAAACTTGCTTCAGCTCCAGTTCAACCCAAGTATAGGAGTAATAAAGAAGATAATGTTAATTTTACGATTATTTTCCCCAGGTAATCAAATGCAACTGGGTGCATTCAAAGAAGCAGGAGATGAACACACGGATTAGGTACCTTCGCTGTGCTGTGGCCTGTGGGCCTCATGGGTCATGACTGTGGCACCCAGCTTTTGAGCTCTGTCACTAATTGCTAGAACCACCGTCCCCCTTTTTTGTTTGCATTTACGTTTTTAAGCTCCATCACTAATTCCTCCCGTTGGGCCTCTACTTCCGCATACTGCAAGCTCATGTTCAGTAACCTGTCCTGCATGTCTTTTAGTTCTGATTCCAGTTGTGCTATTTTGTCATCATTATTCCCCTCACCATTCCTGCTCCCAGATTGCCGCTCTGCAGTGGGACTGTACAGGGTAAAAGTAACAATATGATCCACTAGGAGGTAGGCCGTAGCCAGGTCATGAATACTTCTGAAGATTTTTGCATACTTGGATTGCTAACACTGATTGACAGCCTATACCAATTCATAGAAAAAAATTTGTCCAGACTCTTAACATGACTGCCAAGCTGGAGTTTTATTAACAGATCATTGGAACTTGATCAATCGTTGGATATGCATACATATAATATTAAATCTTAGGGGCGAGTGTAAATTATATTTCTTGTACAAAGTTGGGAAAGGGATGGACAAGGTATGTGCTGAATTGCATTACCTCTTCACCTGTGTCCTATACATGCTATTTTCCTCCAGAGCTTTGGCAAGTCTGCTCTCCAATGACTGGATCTTTGCTTGCAGGTCTGGTTCCTCATTAACTGGAGAACAACCTCCGTTGTCAGTAGCTAGATCATTGTTCCCCTAAAAAAAGTAAGGAAATAGCTGAGAGAAAGTAATCAAGTTGTTTTTCACATTTCACATTTAAATCTAATTATTTAGCATAACAAAAGTTTCATATGTTTCACCATGTGCGCACACAAAAGTTTTTTATTGAGAGAAGTACCTGAAAGCATACTGAATAAGAAATCTAAATTACTCACCTGTTTTATGGTGCTCAGCTTTGGCTGCATGGATGTTTTACTTTGTTTATCTCCATTGATTGTATTTGAAGTATCCTGCGTATGTGAGACTTTGTCTGTTAACATGGCCTTTTGCACCTTTAGCTCATCACATTCTTCAGACATCAACCGAAGTAGCTCTTCTAGTCTTCCCTTTTCAAACTTAGCCTCATCAAGGGAACTTTGCACTTTCAAAAGTTCATCTTGGACACCTGCTATTTTCTGAACTTGAATTTTTAATCCAGAATTTTCTTCCATTATTTGCTGTTTCTCATAATCGCTAGATTTATATTTCAGTTCTAACTCATTTGAAGTTATTCTTAAATTTTCTTCATTGTATTTAGCAGCTTCCATCAGCCTTCTCATATCCTCGGCATCTGTTTTCAGCATTTCTTCGTTTTGTTTCGACACATTGAGTGAATCAGCGAGGGATTTAATCTTGCTTTTAGACTCCTTGCGTATATCTTCCAACTGAGACTCGTAATGTCTCAACTGGTCATTTACATCATGAAGATTAGCCTGAAGTTTTGCCTTGTCTGCTCGAAGGATGGAGGCCTCACGAATAGTATCCAACATGGAACTTTCTTTCTCCTCGTGTGTTGAAGATAGTTGTGCAGTAAGGCTCATGACCTCCCTCTCAAGATTCTCTACCTCGATAGTCTTTTCTTTATCAATCTTGTTTAAAAGGAAATGTGCACGATTTATCTTTTCTTCATGCTCCTTGTGCTCATGAAGTATATTCTCCAGTTCCAAGAGAAAAGATTGCTCTTTTGAAGATATGTCTTTCTGAATCGAAGAAAGTTTTACCTCTAGGAAGTCCACAGTTCTGCAAAAATCTGTGGTCTTTCTTTTCGAGTGCTCCAATTCCTGCTCTAGCTGTGTAGCACAACTGTGCAATTCCAACTTTTCCTTCTTTAGATCATCCGCCAATGCTTGAAGAGAATTGCAATCTTCAATGAGATTATCAACTTTACCCTGCAGTTTAGCATTCAATCTTCTTAGAGCCTCTGAATCCTCCTGTACTTCTGAAAACCTTTTCTGAAATTCTAGTTGTTTTTGCTTCACTTCCACCTTTTGAGCTTCCAACTCTGATTGCTGCCATTCTACTTTATCCTTGAGATCTATGATCATTGTTCTAGAATCATCCATTTGCACTATACATGACTCGTACTCACTT